TTTTTCTGTAGTTTACACGACACTAGTGCTCACTCTTCCTTCTCTATCTTTTTTCCTATTTTTTATTTTATTTTATTTTATTTTATTATTAAGAATTAAAAAATAGATAAAGCATCAGCATCATCAGCATCAGCATCATCTTCTACCACAGTTTGAATCTTTCGGATCTTGTTGGCCGGACTCGGATCCCCCATTCCTCAGATCTCTGAACCCACGATGCCATTCGGCTCTTGACAGTGACACCTCAGGTAACAATTTCTGGGAACTCAACAAAATCTCATTTTTATTTCTCTCCTTATGTCAAGTCCTGTGCTTGAGTTAAGATGGTAGTATAGGTGTTGTTCTTGATTTGAATTTTACTGCAAAATGGAGCTTTGTTAGTTGTTCCTTATTGGGTGGTACTCTTTTGTGATGAAAGTTTTGTTCCTGGAAATGGGTGCACTGTGGAGCATGCTAATCTATAAATCTTACTTGTTTTACTATCTCTGATTTGATTTGCTCACTCTCACTCTTCCTATTTTGGTGGTGTTAGTTCAAAGCTAAGTACCTTTTATTTTATTTTTTATTTTTTATTTTTTCATTTGGGTGCTGAGACCTAAGAAAATGCAGATCAATTTAGCCCCTCTTTCCAATTTGTCTTCATGCACTTGGCCACCAAGTGGAGTTAGATGCATCTTTTTATCTACATTGAGTGTTCCACATTATACATTAATGTCCATGACTTTAAAGTGCCTTGTTTATAATCTTTGTTGTATTTTATTATTTGTTGTGTTGCTTTCACCATTTTGACTGGTAAGTAACTCATGACATCACCTGACAGGTATGCTGTTTTTACATATCACTCCCATCTTTCTTTCTTCAAGTGGGTAAGTTGCCTTGCCGTTAGATACAAAGGCTTATGAATTTTGTTTTTAGAATTACGGAAATCTATCACTTTTGATAGTATAGAAAAATTATCAGGTTTTTTTAAGTAAATTTTCAGAACCATTATTACAGGGCAAAAGATGAGATTTTCATTTAAACAACATATGAAGGGTAAACCTTGTTCTGTAAGATTACAATTTTTTTTTTTCACTCGTGTTAGATTATGTCTAAGTTGTTGTTCATTGGTTCTATGCAACTTGTAGCTTGCTTGAATGATGGATCCAAGCAACCTTTTGCCAGCTGATGGACTTGATGAAGTCCACCAAAATGGTGTTCATGACGAACTGTCTAATGGAAAGGATGGTGTTGCTTCCAATGTAGACCCTGTTTTAACCAAAATTATAGAAACTGCAGCTCAGAATGGAAATTTCGAAAATTTCAATCAGTCTGATAGCACTGTAACTGATTACTCATCCAAGGCAGAAATCGAAGAAGGATCAAATGACAATGTAGATGGAAACAATGTCATCATTTCTAAGGTGAAAGGATATTTTTTTCCCTTGAATCTGTTTAATTAATTTATTAATACGATTTAAGTCGAATATATGATGTATTTTTCTCAATTCTAGGAAGAGGAAGTGGAAATCATAGATCGGACAGGACAATTAAAAGCAGGAAAAGTGTCCTTCAAGAATAAGAATGTAAAGCCACCAAGCCCCAGAGGTGTTCATGCGAGTTCAATAAAAAAGAGCAAAGATGGAAAAGATGAAGAGGTAGCATCTGCTGTTTCAAATGGTAGTTCTGCTTTGGACTCTCACCCAAGACAGCCTATTAAAAACAGATCATTGAATGACAAGCAGACTCGATTGTTGAAGGTAAACTTTGTTGTTATCTTTGATTGCTTATTAAATATTATGTAGGTAGTCAGGCATTCAGATGGGTGTGCTTCCTTGGTTTCTTCTCTTATCTATTTGGCTTTTGAGTAATAAAATTTATAGTTTTGGTATTCCCTGATTACATTTTACACTTTCAGCTCCCTGGAAAGTTAAATGCAGCACCTTCTGAAGCATCAATGTATGTAATGCTTTGCATTTATGTTCGAATGTTTCATCATTTATTAGATCAAGAAAGAACAGTGCATAAAGATTCCTCATCTTAATTATTTGACTTGTGGGCTGTAATTTATTCAATACAGGGAGAAGACTAGACCACGCTTATCAAAGAAAGGGCCCCTTGATAATCTTCAAGGAGAAGCAGAGTCTTCTTCGTATCCTTTTTTATCTGGTTGAGCATTGTTTCTTCTTGTGAGTGGAAATGGGGAGATAATGTGGATTTCTCTGTGTTTATATTGTAAGTTTGTGACTGTGGGTGATATAGTGTATGACTATGGGTTGTCCTTAATCCACTTGTAAGTCCTACTGCAGATGAAAAGCCTCGCAGGGTGGGGATGCTCCCAAATTATGGATTCAGTTTCAAGTGTGATGAGCGAGCTGAGAGAAGAAAAGAGGTAAATAACTATTACTTGCTGCTGCATTTTGTGTTACATGAGGGTTTCTTTTGAATAAGCTCATAATTTAAAAGAAAAAAAATTATATTTTGGCGGTCAGTTCTACACTAAGCTTGAGGAAAAGATTCATGCAAAGGAAGTGGAGGAGAGTAACCTGCAAGCAAAAACCAAGGTGATAATATTTGATATCTTGGCTGAAATGTAACTTGCAGACATTGTCATTTAATCACATCAACCTTACACTTTTTTTATAGGAGACCCAAGAAGCTGAGATTAAGATGCTTAGAAAAAGTCTAGGATTTAAAGCAACTCCAATGCCAAGCTTCTACCAAGAGCCTCCTCCCCCTAGGGTGGAGTTAAAAAAGGTAAGTTTCAACATGTGTTTGTGTGCATGCATGTCAGTCTGATTGCATGCATTTTCTGTTGCTACGTGTACTCTGCCTAATTTTTTTCTTTTTATTGTAATCATATGTATTGCATTTTCTGTTTCTATCATAATGTATGTCTCTGGGCTGTTTGTAATAATTCCATGGCCTAGACCAAATTTATGTTTGAGATCATTTATATTGAAGTAATTCTAATATTTTTTCTCAATAGATAATACGACTAATTCATTTAATGCATCTTAGCCAAAAAATGATCTCAAATAGGATTTAAATAAATGTAATTTTGATAAGTTTCTTTCAACAGTAGCAACAATTACAGTGTTGTGAAATATATACTGTAAGTAATTATGTATTGGAAAAAGAATATAATCTTTTGATATTTCTAATGAGATATTAATTTCTTGTTAGTATTTCTTTCAATAACTTCAATTTGGAAAATAAATCAAGACCATCCAGACCCAATAAAGAAATTGATGAACCACTTCAAGACTTCAACACCTTTCTGACCCATTTGATTAATTCAAATATTCACTTCAACTCTTCAAATGAAAAATGAAACAAATTATTGGCATGGGTGATAGAAGGTGGATAATAATTAATTGGTAATAAAAAATAGAAAGTTAGGAAAACAAAGGATAGCCATTGTCCAAGAGTGAGACATATAGGTGGGAGATGGTAGATAATTAAAATATGAAATATTTATAAAAAAAAATGAGATAAATAGTTATAAGTCACTAAAAAGTAATTTATACAATTAATAATGTGAGGAATTATTAAAAAATTATAGCAATTATGATAGACCAATAGTCCACACCTCACTTGTAGAAGGGGAAAACAATATGGGTCCAGTAGCAATGGTTTGTGGTAAAGGGAGAAAATAAAATAACCAAAAGAAGGGGGACATCAGGTAAAATATCCTGAGCCAAGAGAAAGGAAAATATTTATTCTCCATAAGATTCCTTTAACAATTTCTTCCGGTGTCTTTCTTGGTCTTCCTTTATCCCTCTATATAAGGCTAAAAATCATATAATCTATTTTCCTCACCAATGCTTCTAGTGGCATTTTTTGCACGTGTCAATCACCTTTACCAATTTTGTCATCTATTTCTTGATAGATGTCACACCAACATCTTGTATACAATCATTTTGTATCTTGTCCTATCTTGTGTGGTCAGTGGTCTCACATTCATAATATTCTCATTTATGCTACTCACATTTTTTTTCTGTTTTTTTTAAAGCCCAGCATTCACTACCATAAATTATAGTTGGATTTATAATGGTACATTAAAACTTTTATTAGAACTTTGCAGGTACTTTGTAGTCACAAATATAAACTTTGATGTCTTTCTTCAATTTAACCACCTACCTTGTATCTTGTGTGTCATATCTTCATTAATTTTCTTATCATTTGGTAATATTGATCCTAGATACTTGAACTTAGAAACCTGTGGGATGACATTTTCTGCCATTTTTATCTTTTTTCTTGCTAAAATTGCAATGCATATTGCATTCACTTTGTCTTACTCAGGTGGAAATCCTTTGGTTCTAAAATATGTCTCCAAAGCCCAAGTTTAGAGTTAATCTCTTGCCTTAATTCGTCAATTAAAACTATATCATGTGCCTTACAATTAGGTAGAATCTTTTGTATGTCCTTAGTAAGCACATCCTAATCTAGATTAAACAAGGACTCAAGGTTGAGCTCTTATGTAATTTTATTGTTATAGGAAAGTCCTTAATATCGCCTCTAGGAGTTCTTATAATAGTTGTTACTTCATCATTTATGTCTTGTATAGGCTGCATATAAGTCAAGAAAAGAACACCTTTCTTCTTTTTTTTAAAGCCTTTCACAACACTTTTCTTGGGTTCCATCATATGCTTTTTCCAACTCAATAAAATTGTATTCTTTGCCTTTATACCTTTCTATCAACTAGCATAAAAGATAATTGACTTTTGTTGTGGACCTTCCTAACATGAAACTAAATTGTTTCATTCATCTTTTTTCATAATTTCATAGCATGACTCGGAAGTTTTATTCCTCTATAGTTTACATAATTTGAATATCTTCCTTGCTTTTTAAATATATGAACCAAAGTTCTCCCCTTCTACTCATCTGACATTTTCTTAAATCTCATCAAATAGCTTAGTGAGTCAAATGACACCTTGTTCTCCTAGACATTTCCAAACTAAAGTAAGCCAATTGATTGTAATTATTATGTTGATAATAAATTAATTTTAAAATAACAAAAGAAAAATGAATGAAAATTCTTTTTTAATAAAATTACTCAATAACTTTAATAATAAGAAAAAAGTATTAAAGGTATACAATTTTCTTGGGGCCTCAGGTGACATGGGAGCATTATTAGGCTATTGTCTCATTTGTCTATGACCTGGCACTGACCTGGGCACTGTCTTGCCTTTTTTTTTTCTGTAGTTAAGAATGATTGGTCATTGTATGAATAAATATAAATATTCCCATACATTTATAACTATTTATTACTCTCCTAGGTGTGGTCTTTTGTGCAACCTAAAAGTTCAGGTGTGCTGGATATAAGAATGAAAGGAAATGTCTATTATGTAGATGTAGATTGAATAAGTAATTGTGACATGGGTAATAAAACTTGTATTTTCTGAGGTTGTTAGACCAACATTAACAAGTTGGTGAAATAAAAGATAAATCTATTACATAATACATTGGTGTTCATCAGTCATAATTTCTATTTCAATTAATGAATGTGATGCTTTATTTTACAAAATTAGGGGCTACTAACTAATTGGAATACTGATTCTACTGTTACAGTTATTTGTTTTCATTCATCTCCATGTTGAACCCTTACGTTGTTTGTAATTTTGTGACTTACGTTATGGGTTTTGAAAATTTAGGTGGTTTTGTTTATTTTCCAAAGTAAGCCCACAGGATTGAGTCCTATCTGATGCAAAATTTTATAATTCTTTATTTGTTCTGGATGAATTTTCAGCTTTCACTAATCGATGTATAGATGCTTGATCAAGTGCATCTAAACTAATTTTATGTAGGTCATATTTGGATAAATTTCTTCATAAGCACTTAGGAGAAGTAAACAAGAAGGTAAAATGAATTGAGCTTCTTTTATAAGCTAAAATCAACTTATGCATTTAGCTTTTATGGAAGATTCTTTCATTTAACTTCTCCAAAAATTAAAGATGCATAAGCTGATTTTAGCTTATAGGAGAAATTCAGTGTATTTTACTTTTTTATTCTCTTCAATTAGTGTTTATAGAAAAGTTTATCCAAACAGGGTTTTAACAACCTTGGTAAGCCTAATTCTTATATTAGCAGATGGTTTTAAATCTCTCTAAAGTGATGCTAAAAGCCAGTTTTCAATTGTTTCAATGGTGAAATGAAGTTTGTTTGCTTTTCCATTTGAACATTTCTTTGGGCTAGGGGTATGCAAAAAATGCAAATCGATCTGATTGAAGTTATGAAATCCAATTTGTTTTGAGAAAAAATCAAACGGATCCACTTTGTAAAAACAGTTTGGTTGACCGATCTGTTTTTACTTAGTGAATCAGTTAGATTTTATGAAAAAACTATTCTAAATGAGTATAAAGTGAATAATCGAACTGCTTTAAACTTATCCAATTATAAAAAAAATTGATTTACTTAACTGATCCATTTTATAAAATCGATCGGTTTATTTCGTTTGGATTTTCAAAATCTAATCCATGGACAGCCCTGCTTGAGCACACAGTTTTGATCTTTCGTTTTTTCTCTCCCACTCTGACATTTGAATGTTGATGCCAATTTTGCCTATTTTGAGCTAGCGAGTTTGGTCTTTGTGATTTTGAAAGTTAATTTCCTGAGCTTTTGACCTTTCTAATTGTAGATGCCAACTACAAGAGCAAAATCTCCCAAGCTTGGTCGTAAGAAGAGTTCAACATCTTCAGAGCCAGAAGGAAACACTAGCAGCAGTGCTCGACTAGGTCGTTTAAGTCTGGATGAGAAAGTGTCTCAGACTAACCCCACTAAAGGAATTACTCCTGCTCATCAAAAGAAGCCACAGAGAAAGTCTCTTCCTCCGCGACTGACTTCTGAAAAGATCAGTTCATCCAATTCAGCATCTGTGCGGACCCCATCTAAGGCAGTGAATGATAACAAAACCTCCTTATCAAGTGTAACGACTGAAGTTTCCATTGCAACAGGGGAAGAGAAAGTTGAAATAGCTGCAGCCACTGAAGAGAACAATGTCTTATTGGATGAGACTAGTAAAGCTCTGCCTCTGAATGTAGAGCCAGGTGAAGCAGAATCTCCTGTGAATGGTGATTTAGCCATTGAAGAGAAACCACAGCTCGCGGCCTTGGTACAAGAACCGATAGCAGCTGAGCACTAAGCAAACAGCGGAAAAAGAACCGAATATTAACTATCAGATCAATTGATTCGTCTGGTGAATGTTATAGAAGCATATGACTGGGATTTTTTAACAATGAAGGCTTGCAGAATTTCTTTGTGGTTTGTGATGTCATTTTGTCCAAGCAGCATTGTTTCTTGTGTTTGCTCCTAAAGCTTGCAGGTTTTGTCCTTTGATTTCTTTCCTCCTTGAAGCAATGTATGTAACTATTTTCCAGGTTGTTCTAGTTGATGTTATTTTAGCATGTAACATTTGTCTGTTTAGTTAATATGTTGGCGAAAATTTTGAGAAAGTTTGCCATCAGTGGTTCAATCACATTTTGAAACTAGCTGTTTGTGTTGTGGACACCCTTCTGATGGATGAGCCACATGAGATGATTGTGTTACAGCTTTGCTTTTGTTATGCATCGAATTCTGTTGTTACTATCTCCATCGATTTTCAGCTCTCCATTCTGCTCTATAACAGTATATGCATATTCTTTTGTTATGCGTATCTTTTCTTTTGTTACAGGTAGAGTTCATTAGCAGTGATGATATTAAATAGCTTAAATCTTTTTAACTCACAGTAGTGACATAAGAAATCTCTTTAGCATGTGGTCTTAAAGTTTAATTTTAAAATAGATTTCGTTATTATCTTAAGAAAAATAAAGGAATCAATCAATCAATAAATAATTGTTAAAAATTACGACATTTAATATATTGATAACATTAAATATTGAAGTAATTATACCCACATACTTGCTTTTCTTCTATCTTCCTTTTTACCAAATTTTCCTTCATATCTCTCTTCCTTTCTTAACACGTCACCTTCATCTGTCACTTTTTCTTACACATATCAACTCTACATTCATGTGGGCGTTCAATATTTTCTTTCGACAATTTTCTTTTATAATTAATTTCTTAAAACAAAAAAATTAAGATTCATTCGTATAAAAAAAATACAATTAGGAACGTCTCACATTCAATACCTAATTGTACTAAAAGAAAAGGTTAATCTTTCATTTATTGAATGGGAAAATACTGTTGGAAACTACTAAAAAAATATTTGCTAAGAGTAAAGTACCACATAAGTAGGTTGTGCTGGTAAGTTTCAGTCATATGATAAAGCCTTGGTGGACCCATTTAGATCATACCTAAAATTCACTTCTCTTCTTTAATACTAGGTAGTATTTTGTTTGTCTGGTTGGAGAAAAATAAGAGAAATATCGGGTTAGTCTCTTTTAAAAATTAAAAATCAAGTTTCTAAAAAAAATATATATGCAGAGAGAAATTATCTTTTAAAAAAAAAACAGAATTTTTTTTAATAAAATTAGATAAACACATTAAAAAAGTAAAAAAAAAACATTTATCTTAGTTAAAAAAAAACGTACTTTTTTAGAGGGAAAAATTAATCAAACAGGTCTACTATTTTTCCTTTTAAGTTTTTCTTTGTAATTATAATAGTATTTTCTTATTTTCTAGCGAGGGTGTCAATGCTATTTCCTAGAGTTTAGAGATAAGTGGTCTAAATTCTTTTACTTAGAAAAGTTTTTTTCCTTTTTAGTTTTTACCCACCGTTCTTTTTTTTTTTTTTTAGTCGTGATTTATTAATTTGTTACTCTTATACCCAATAATAATAATTAATTTATGATATAATATCAAAGTCTTTCTAACTAAATATAAGAAAAGTAGTAGCATGTATTATTTACGCGTCAAATTTGGATGTCTCGTGTACTATTTGTCCCTCCACCTCTATTTGTATTTTTGGTGTTGGTAGGAAGTTTCGTACGTTTGAACCCACTAATGGAAGTTTGTGTGCTTAACCACCATTTTTATTTTCATTAATCAAGAGATACGAATTTGTCAATATTATGTGCAGCTTAATTTGTTGTAATCTTGTTCAGTTTTAATTGATTAATAACTTGGGGTTGGATAGATACCTGTGGTCCTGAAAGACTGTTGAATGTCTTACACAATACAATTTCTTTGTCAGAAATACAATGCATGTATCTGATTTTCTAGTCGTGTGGTTGCTTTATTATTAATACCAAGTCCATTACGCATCCATCAGAAGGTCCCATCATACACCCAAAAACAAAATAAATAAATGAATCAATAAATAAAAGGAAAGTTGTCATTGTTTAGTCTGACAAGGCCTGAGAGGTCCAATTGTGGCAATATTCTTTGTGAACATTTTAAGGTAAAGAATTGAGGAGAAGTATAAACGGCAGATTTGCCACTAAACTTATCAAACATATTGTTGAATATATTATAAGTACGTACACAGTCAAACTTAAGATTTTTTGCTTTTAATCAATTTCTATGACACAACAAATAGTCACAATTTATATAGGGTTTTATCCCGGAAGCTTCTTCAGATTTTCACAGAGCATTAGACAAAGTTAACAATTAAACTAGGGGTGATGAGTTCATTCTCCAAAAGAAAAAACTAAAACAGAAAAATCTATTATGAATTATTTTGAAGATGAAGGTATGACTATCATTCTTTTTTATAACAAATTAGCTATCATGCTGACTATAAAAATCTACTTGCAGATTATATATTAGATTATTTTGTTCTAGCTACACATACCGTAACTATAAAATTAGTTCTTTATGAATTACAAAGTTGGGCTTATCTTAGAGGCTGAACCAACTGTGATTACCAAAGCTATGAATTAAGGAAGGTTCGTTTGATAATCACGTGTAGACTTTGCGAACATGGCCAATGTTTCACTAGTGTTACCAGATGCCCTGTGTGGAGTCATTTCAAATGATACATCAATAATTGCTTTATGGGAATGCATGTGGAGTACATGTGCCATTTTAGAAACTCGACATTATTGTCTCTGTCTACAAACCGTAGCATTTGATGCAAAAGTTTACCAAAGTCCGGTCCAGCTACAGCAGATGAAGTGTTGCTATCGTCCAGAGAGTTTGTTCATGAGTCATGAAGTGCTGAATTCACTCCCTGACCCGTGTGTTGGGACTGACAACTGATATTTTATTTATTTTTATAATTAAAAATATACAATATTTTTATTTTTATTTAAAAATAATATAAAAATAACATTACTGATATGCCATAATTAAAGCTACTGAACCTCTAAAATCAACTGATGCAATATCAGTTTATTATTCTTAACTAAATCTTTTTTTTAAGTCATACAGTTAAAAACTTGAAAAAATATACATATTCACGAATACGTGTTATCAACACAGGTTCCCATTAGCAGTCTCGGCCAAGCTCAGCAGTGATGTCATAACCATCTCTAAGCAAAACATCTTAGATTCTTGGTAAACTCATTTTGTAAAACACTTTACTCTTTTATAAAATTAGAATTAGAACATAAGAATAATAAATAAATAAATAAATCCACGAACTAAAATTAACTTGTATAGGTTAAAAATCAATCTTTTGGAACTTTTTGGAAAAAGTTGGTTTTTTAAAACTTTCATGAATTAATTTTAACATAAAAAACCGATTTCATTTTTTCTTGTTCTATATAAGTGCTTATCCAAACAAAATCTCAATATACCAAGATTTCAAAGACATGATTTTTTGGAATGGGACTACAAATTTGTATTCCTTATTTTCATAGAATAACATACAGTACAAGGGGCATATCTCAGTATCATTACAAAACAGAGGTTACTATGACAAGTTCAAAAAAAAAATGAAGCCTAAAAAAATAGGGCTTGGTAGTAAAAAAACAACCCATCCCAAAGGGAAAAGATTGTCATGACAGACCTGTATAACTTGCTGCCATGGCCAAAGCCCCTGAAGACAAAGGCTTCATAACTCCGAACTGCCAAAGTAACCAGAACATCACCAGCACATATACTGGAACTTCAAACATGCCCCTTTACCATAACTTTGACCCAAACCTCACGTACAGAACATAGCTCAAATACGTGAAAAATTTGGGCAAACACCACTGGACAGACTGGGTACATAATACTGCTGCAAAGAAACATGGACAAGGACACACAAGGTGGCAAAACCGATACAAAGCAGCGCTAAAAACATCAGGTGCCAACACTAGAAAGAAAGATATCTAACCCCAGAACCCAGTAACTATGCTCACAGAGATAAACAGACATTTTAAAAGTAGCATCTATCAATAGAATGCCAAAAAAGTTTGAACAGACTTCCAATTAAAGGAAACCTGCAAAAATAAATATTAAATGTCTGTATGCTCTGGAAAAAGAGAACTGAGTACCGGATGACCAAGACCCATAGCCAATGGACCCAAAAACACTACCGAGCAACACTAACTATAAAAGCTGAGGCATTTTCTGTTCAGTAGAGGATGTCACACATCCAGAGATGTTCCAAAAGCATGTCTACGGAGCGGGTGCTGATTGCATTGCAACGCTTGATGTTTAATCCTGCAAGAGAATCGCCCAGTTTCTTCAACGCAGGCAAGCTCTTGTCTGAAACCAAAGAGCAACCTGCCAAAGAAAGTACCTCCAGGTTGAGCTGCTTTCCACGTGCAAGGGCTGCAATACCAGTATCGGTGATTGCACACTTGGATACATCGAGATCAGAGAGCAATGGGCAATTGCCTGCAATTGCCATCAAGCTAGCATCGCTGACTCTTATACAGCCATCAAGGTTTAGCACCTCAAGAGTCCATCCATGTGAGTTAACCATGGACAAAACTACTCTGTCTGTCACATTTATGCAACCTCTTATATTAACTTTAACCAGACCAGCCTCAGAGCTCTCAAGCAATGGAAGAAACCCTGCGTCTGTTACTCCCTGAAGTCCACTCAATTCAACATGCTGAAGCCGAGGACAGAGCTTTCCAAGTAAAGCAAGAGTAGCATTGTCAAATCCAGGGCAGTCACGGATTGATAATGACCAAATTGATTCACTAGGTGATATTGCTGGCAATTCCATATTAAGATTTTTGATCCCATAGCAGCTAATCAGAGTAAGAACCTTCAATTTTGCACCACAGTTAAAAAAGACACCGAAAAGCCCAATTTGGGTAATTCTGTGGCACGCTTCCAACTGTAGGCTCTCAATTGATGGAGCAGCCTTGGTAAATGATACCAACCCCTTGTCTGACAGAAATGCACACTTACGAAGCTGAAAGTTTTGCACATTTGGACAACCTTTTCCAATAGCTTCAAGCCCAGTATCTGTTGCTCCTTGGCAGCATTCAATTGTGATTGAAGTTAGTTTCTGCAGTCCACGGCCATTACCCATAACCCAGAACCCTTTCTCACTGACATTTGGGAGGCAACTGAGGACAAGATCTGTAACTGCAAAGCCATAATGCCCAATCACAGCTAGAGAGAGATCAGAAACCATCAGCGACTGAAGCTTAACCTTTGATAAAACAAAAGAAGCCGCGGACAAGAGGCCGGAAATTCCCTGATCACCAACTCCAGAGCAATCCTTAATTGAGATAGACCTTAGATTTGGACACGACTTCCCAATAGCTATTAGACCTTCATTACCAATGCTAGGACATGACTCTATTGATAACTCGGTCAGATTTGGACAGTTCTTTGCGACTGCAATTAGAGCCTTGTCAGAAATTTTGGGGCACTTGCAAAGGTCAAGCTTTTCTAACTGATGGCACCCACTAGCAATCTCAATCAGGCCTTCATCATTAATGGTAGCAACATCCCATACAGAGAAAATCTTTAGAGAGGGGCATCCATGAGCAATTGCCTTGAGACCTACATTAGTCACCCCACGATCTGAATTGCTTCCACGAATTGAAAGCTTCCCCAACCCTCCTCGACATGCTGTCCCAACAGCAATGGCAGCAAGTCTAACATCTGTAGCCTTCTTTCCCTCCAAGTTTCGGGATAGGTATCCTTCGTCACTATATTCCTGATCCTCACCCTCGTTTTCATTTCTGGTAATTTCATTGATACAGATTTCATTCTTACAAATACTGCTTAGAAGCATAAGCCAGCGCTTGGATACAGAAGCACAGATACTCCTATCTTGACCTGAAGGCAACCTTCTAAGGATCTCAAAGAGGCATTCATCTGGCAGAGATTCAATACTTGTCTTTGGCTTCTGCTTCTGCTTCTGCTCAAACCATTCTCCACTGATGTCAAATGGAACACTGAAGCGAGATTGCTTCTGAAGAGGAAAGTAAACATCAACTTGACGGCCACGAGACAAGAAGAGACTTGGTTCCTTGGGGTTAGGATATATAGGACCCCCAGGGAGAAAATCATCAGTTCCTGAAAAACCAATCATGTCCAAGGTCAAAATCGCGAGTCGCAACAAAATAATTATGCATATAAAAAACAAATCAACGTATATTCCCAAAGTATAACCACATAAAGTATCTTCTCTATGATTAACAGTTTTGAACAAACAATAGAAACCAGATTTTTAAATGAATCCGAGCCCAGGCATCTAAAGGCAACAGCTACTAAGGTCAACTCTGAACAAAATTGCTGATCTCATATGTACACAAGATTAACTACTCAACAGTTGAACCTTCTGCTAAATGATCTCAGCAAACAAGATCCAATTTCCAATAACTACTACAAACAAAATTTTCCTATGGCCAATATTACTCCAAGCTGAATTATCTCACCATCTCTCAAAAAATAAAAATACAAAAAAAAACTTAAATCTCTTCTCATCTCTCATCAGATCCACCATGAAATACAACGATTCAACAAATCCCTCACGCAGAACCAAATAATATATTTTTTTTACCAAACAAACAAGAATATATATATATATATATATACACACACACACATATACATACATATATATATGTATGTATGTATGTATGTATA